TCTCTCTCTCTCTCTCTCTCTCTCTCTCTCTCTCTCTCTCTCTCCTTGTAAACATGTCAGGAGTCAGGCGCTGAGGTCGACCTCCCCTTCTCCAAAATCACTTCAGCAAGACACAATGTCCTCCTGCTGTTTTCAAACCTATGCCACAAGCGAATGTCTCCACGGAGCTAATTTTTGAAACAAACAAAGAAATCCCAGTGTTGGAGGCGCGCGGTTTGCGTCCCCCTGCTTGGGATGTGGGCGTGCAGGGTAGCAGGGTCCCTGCAGACTGGTCCAGGAGCCCGGGCTTCGCCCTCACCTTCCCGCCCGCCGGCTCTGCTCCAGCTGCTCCCGGGGTGTGAGCCTGCCCCTGTCACTGGCTCGCGGCGCCGGGAGCCCAGAACACCCGGTCCGCAGCCTGGGAGCCCCGGCTTCCCACCTCTGCGCTGTCACATGCCAGGCGCGGCGGTGCTAGGGCATCGAGGTGCGGGCGACCCCAACAAGTGTCCCGCCGGACGCCTGCCCCACTCCACCCGAGCAGCGGCCACAGGTAGACTCTGTCTATCCCGCGTGCCCCGCGAGGGCAGCGGCAAGAGCCGGCGCGGCCCCTGCGCCCCACGCGCTCAAACTCACCGGAGGACACCGAGGAACCGGACAGGCTGGAGTTGCTGGACGCTGCCATCCCGGCGCCCCGCGCGTCGTCGCTCTCTCAGTCCCGCTGCGGATGGAGTCGCAGCTGCGCTCGGCCGGGCACTCGCAGCCGGCGCGGCCCCCAGCCCATGGCAAAGTCCTGGGGACGCCGAGAGCACCAGCCTCCGGACTCTGCCTGCACTTCCTGCTCCGCCAGATGACGCGCTGCTGCCGCAGCTATTTATTTGTGGTTTCCGTCCGTCTCCGCGCCTTTGAGCTCCGCTCCGGGGTCCCGGGTAGGTGCGAGGAGGAGATCTGCCGGGGCGGGTGGATCTCCGCCGCCGCCGAGCCCCGCTGCGCTCCCCGCTCCCGGCGCTAGGCTGGACCCCGGCCCCCGCCGGCTCCGAGCCGCCCCACCCGCTGCCCGCTCAATCTCCCGGGATCGCGCCTCCGCGGCCGCACTAGGAGCAGCCCGGGCAAAGGCGGGGAAGACAGACAGACAGAGCGACCTCCCCCTTCTCCCTCCGCCCCAACTCGGCTCGCGAGCACACAAAGGAAGGAGAGAACGTCGGCGCTCCGGGGCTGGATCGGCTGCCTCGGGCTTGACAGCTCCTGTGACCCGGGTTGCAGGGGAGGCTGCGGCCGCCAGGCGGGGGCACACCCGGAGCCGCTCCGAGGTGCTAGGCAGGCCACCCGCCGGGGGCACGGGCCGAGCCGGGCAGCGGTGAGCCGCGCGGCTGCCCGGGTTACAAGGGATAGAGGGGTCGTGGGGAGAAGTAGTGGAGGCTCACTGTGCGGCTCTGCCCTCTGGAGCGGCGAGACAGTGGCGGTGGGGAATCTAGAGGGCGAAGGGGGAGGAACTACCGACACAGCGCTAGGCAGAAGCCTGGCCGAGATACGACGAAGGCTGGGGAGCGCCCCTCCACTCCCCTTCAAATTGTCCTTTGTTGCTCTGGAACTAACAGCCCCTGCCCGGCCAGAGGTGCCCTTTCTAAAGCGCCCAGGGAGCCAATCCAGCTACGCTCATGGGATCAGCCACAGACATAGCCCAAGGAGCCAAGGGGCTTCAAACAGAAACACGCAGTCCAGGGGTGATATCAGGCCCACACAAAGCCTGATGTCAAAGAGAAAGAGGTTCTCTGTATGCACCTTGGAGAGGATCCTCACAAAAGACCAAGACTTGGAAGCAGGTGCAACTGTGCCCTTTCAGCATTAGGAACTGCCTAGATGTGGAGCAAGGTGTGTGCCTTCCTCCTGCATTTAAACCTAAATTAATTTCACTGGGAGGAAATATCATGCAGATTTTTTTTTAAAGTCTATTTCACGCTCCCAGCAAGGTAATCGGTTCTTTCAATCCTGAAGCTACGGAAAACTGTGAAATTTGAACAGAAATTGTTAGATCAAAGGAAAAAGCAAACATTAAAGGAATGAAAATACTCTCATTATATAGCAAAATGGAAAGTGTTCACATTGGGGGTAGTTTAATTTTGAAAAACATGATTAAAATGACATAGGCCATTTAAAAATGATCAGGAGTGACATAGAAACCTCAGTCGGGTCCTGGGGAGCTCTATATCCATGGAGGACCTAAAGCACAGTGAATAATAAAGGTTAAATAAGTACAATATGCACTTGTGTCACATTTTCTACTTGATTTAAAGTATGTTTTAAAAATCCCCTCCAGGATGCCATCTCAGTGTGACTGTACAATAAGTTCCCCCCACCCCTTTTTAAGAAAATGTGGCTTACTAAAGAGCTGAAGGTTATGGGCCCTCTCCAGTCGCACTGAGCTGCATCTGCCTGGTCCCTGTTAACATGGATCTTGAAAGGGATCTGTCCAGACAACTAGACTCAGGCACTATCATGTCTCCCCACCCATTTGAGGAGGACAATGTCACCTTGAGGTGGCTATCAGGAGCCCTTTAGAGATACACAGCCGCCCAGCATGTCCTTGATCTCGCCATCAGAATGTGACTTCCTGTTTGCCCAGCATTCTTTTGATGGAACAGAGCTTAGTTATTTGATTAGTAATCTACCAGTCCTTCCAGATCTTTAGATGGTGGACTTGGCCGTGGCACTCAACAGATCTTTAGATGCCGAACTTGACCATGTCACTCCACAAATTTTTAGATGGTGAATTTGGTCATGTTACTCATCAGATTTTTAGATGGTGGACTTGGCCACATCACCCAACAGGATTGTTACCACCTAGGCTTTGAAGAAAGCCTCTTTCTTCAAACTTTGATTCTGTCATGTATCAACTAGGAGACTTTGAACAAATGACTTAACTTTACTGAGTCTCAGTTTCTCCACCTGTACGACAGGTATTGATCACGTCCTGTTCAGATTGTTAAGACTGAATCAAACGTTGGGTGTGAAGCCACAGGACCTGGTATACAGGTTGCTTTCCAGAAGCAGTTTATAAATTGTTCACCTGAAGGATGGAATCTGTGGTTTGAACAATTTTGTCTTTTTCTCCCGAAGACAACTAACCAGCAGTGACTTATTTGATGGGGAAATGTCTCATCTGGGGTCAAAAGTTTATTTTCCCAGATTGAGCAATAGGTGATAGGCTTCATTCTGTATATCTGAAGTCTCACAGAACGTAGGTTTTATTTGTGCAGACGATATTTGTCTTCACAGGACTTTAATTACAAAAAGCAAAGGGTGGCCCTGTGGAATAGATTATGTTTGTTCTTCCAAATAGATGAAAGGACGGAGGAGCTCCAGCAGCGAAGGCACCACCTCAGGCCACTCTGTGCTCTACAAAAGTAGAAGATGAGGAAGACAGAAAGTGAGGCCCAGCCTATGGTAGGAGGTGGATAGTTAAAGCCCGTTATTTTGAAGAACAAACATACAAAACACCAGGTTCTGGACTGAAATCTGTAAGCTGGTGGATCATTTAGACTGAAAAGCATAACCAATGCAGAGAACTCAGCAGGCATGGCTGTTCAAGATTGTCTTTCTTCAATATAAAGGCCTAGGGACTTGCTGCTCCTGACCAAATATTTCATACTGTAAATTAACAGGCAGGGGCTGAAACAAAACGCTAAGACTGTGTTCTCTGTCAATAGCCTTGGGCACTTGCTGGTAGACAGTGTGCCTACTAATGTGTTTCTTCAAGTGGAACCCTAGAAAACTTCATGTGGGCATTTCGTTCATCCCTGTGTTGCATTTTATATTCTTGTTTGCCATTGGAAATGAGAACATTGGTGCTAGGAAGATCTTAGACTTGTTTGAAATCTAATCTAATCATTTACAATTTTCTTTTGGATACCTCTATCTTCTTCCTTCAAATGGTAAAAGGTCTATGGATAAAGGGAGTGTTCTGGATAATGTGATCCTATGTAGGACCAGTTTAGAGTGGCTGCAGAGATGGCTCAGCCATTAACAGCACTGGCTGCTCTTCCAGGAGACCTGGGTTTGGTTTCCAGAACCCACATGGCAGCTAATTGTCTGTGATTCCACCCTCTTCTGACCTCCATGGGTGTTGCCTACATGTGCACATACATACATGTAGGTAAAAACACTCATACACATAAAAATAAATATAAAAAAATTTTAATTGCCATTTTGCTCTAACAGCATTGGCCTTTCTTTTTTTAATTTTTTTAACAATATGTGCACCCATGAGTGTCCATACATCTGTGAGTGTGTGTGCCTGTGTGTATGCATGTGCCTGTGTACCTGTGTGTGTGTGTGTGTGTGTGTGTGTGTGTGTCCTGGAGCAGCATGGCTGAGAACAATTGCAGCAGTCAGTTTTCTCCTTCGACCCTCTGGATCCCAGGACTTGAACTCAAATCGTTGAACTTAGCAGCAAATGCCTTTATTCACTCAATGAGCCATCTCACCAGCCCTCCAGTTGTAATTTTCTTATAGATTTCATTCATCAAATCAGAGATCCATGAAGCAGCCTTCCTTGCATGTTGGATGTCAGACACAGTTTTCTCTCTCTAGTCTTCAGAAGCTACTTGGAGGGAGTGGGGAAGGGGCAGGACTCTTGCCTGCCCAGTCTTTGTACCACGGTACCATCTACCATGCTCTGCTCACAGTAGGTCATTGGGACATCTTTTTAAACTAATGAACAAACTAAGCAACCAGCGAATGGCTTTTCATCCCGTGGCTGTGACCACTGAGCTATACCATGAGGTGATGTGACACCTCTGGAGCCCAAAGGGCAGTGGGGCAGCATGGGAGACAGGCAACGTTCTGATGAGGCCAATGTTGGCTGTCCCCACCGGGTCTCCCATCATCAGCCAGGACTGGTACAACTCTGCTAATTTATTGTTTACAGGGTAGCTCTTAGGCTACTGTAATCTGTCATTTTGTTTTAGCATTCCTTTGAAGTTTGAAAGCAGACAGAAAACACCGCAGGGTGAAGTATATGCAGGTGGGGTCCTGTTTGGAGCTGCTCGCACTCCTCTGGGCTATTTGGTAGGGAAGGAACAGAATGAAATGTTCCCTTACTTTCAAGATTAATCCAGTTGCCGGCATTCACGGGAGAATTGTGGAGCTGTTTGTCAAACAGCTTTAAATATTTTATGACAAATACTCCAGTCTAGCCTGAAAATGGCCCTTTTGCCATCAATTTCTCGACATCAATATATTCTTTGTCGTTGGGAGAACTATTCCCCTTTGTAGTTCAAGCCTTGTTTGGTATACAAAGATACCTAACCCTGTTTGAAAACACTGGCTCTTCCCCAGCTAAGTTGAGGCAACTGGAGGCATAGGCTGAGGACCCGCCCGCAGTGTCCTTAGAAGATGCGCACGAAGCTTGGCTCACATCGCAGGTAACAGCCTTGCCTGGGAACAAAGGGGAGTCCACACCTGGGGTGCAGACAAAGAGAGGCCGCCTGCTTACCCTATTCCCAGCGCACATCGCCTGCTGCTGGGGACCTCTAGTGGAGACACGCACTCTGCGCGCACAGTGATCACTGAATCTTGGCGCTGGGCTGTGGAGGGGTGAGTTTTGCCACCAGGTTTCTGTAGGGCCACTTTGCTTGCAAGAATCAAACACACACACACGAGAGAGAGAGGGAGAGAGAGAGAGAGAGAGAGAGAGAGAGAGAGAGAGAGAGAGAGAGAGAGAAAAGAAAAAAAGAGAAAAAGAAAAAAAAAGAAAAATCATAGGTAGTTCTAGTTTGATTTCTATTGTTGTGATAAAATACTGACCAAAACTAATGTGGGGAGGAAAGGGATTATTTCACCTGACACTTCCAAGGCACAGTTCATCTTTGAGGGAAGTCAGGTAGGAATTCAGAGCAGGAACGTGGAGGCAGGAACTGAAAGCACAGACCTTTGAGGAATGGTGGTTACTGAGTTGCTTCTCTGACCTGTGCTAAGCCTGCTTTCCTATACAACCCAGGGCCACCTGCCCAGGAGGGTCACCTCCTACACAACTCAACCATCAAGAAAATGCCTCACAGTCAAGCCCACAGGCCAACCGCATAGAGGTAATCCTAT